CACATATCAAATATATAGAGTAAATAGAAAGTAATTTCAATTGGACTTGGTGAGAGGAAAGCATCAACAATTAGAAATATCAGGAAAAGTCTCCTTTGGAATTGATAGCTCATTTGAGATTTGAAGAAAGGTGGAGATGATGAGGGAAAACTTTTCTTCCCAGGGACATAGCCTGTTAGATACAGATTGAACTGAATGGTCATTGAGCTTCCTAATACCTCTGACATTCTGTGATTATTGTAGCCAAAACAAATATTCTTCACCTGTTGGTCAACCGTATGGAGATGAAACTCTCTCAGTTAGCCAGAGTGGTCTTCAGTCTATTGCTGAGCTCATATACAAAGCCTTTCTGTCTTAATGTAAGATCTGCCAGACAATTTTTTCCTTGGCATAGTCTTTCAGAATCTTTATGCTGTAATGAGAGCTCTAGTGAGATCTCCACTTTCTTACCCTACAACTACAGTCAGTATACAGTAAACGTACTCATAATCATATATGTATTTCCAATAAAATTCACCTGAAATATTTTGAATATTTTTCAAAACATTCCTCATATTCTCTCCTCCCTTTCCCTGCCCCACTCCTTCCCTTAATCATCACTTTCATAATTTTCCTCTTTGGTCAGTGAGTTCATATTTTTCACGACCCTATGAAAGACATAGAACTACAAAGGGCATTTCTTGGGGTCATAGATTTTTGACTGGAAGGAACCTTAGAAAGACATTCTAGTATCTACCCCCTCTCCCCTTGTCCTCCATTTTACAAATAAAGAATCTGGAGACTTGATTGGATAAGTGACTTCTTTGTGGTCACACAGGTAGGGAGGAGTACCCATTTCCTTCTACATTTTAGTTAGCGTTTTTTCCTCTGAACCACTTTGCCTCTCATCCCCTTCTGGCCAATGGACCTAGAAGTTTCTCTCTTGGCCTTCTTTTGGCTAAGCTCTTTAATCAGTCTATTATTCCTCAATTAGACCTTTAAGGAGGTCTGGAATGTGCTGGGGTTTGCTCACCTAGCTACTTTTATTCCTCTGTAGGTTCTGAAGTCTTACGATTAAGATGCTTTGTTCAGATTCATCCCACCCATCCCCCAATCTCAGTAAGTGAGAGAGTTGTGGTGCCACATATAAATATAACAACATAAACATATAAATATTGTATACACACATATCCATATATACATATATATATTTAAAGAAACAAGCTGTATACCAGAGATCACCATTGTGTTCTATTCTTCTTTCCCTAGAACTGGATGACCTACGTAGAGTTATTTTGATTATTGGATACTTTAGAGGTACTAGAGAAAGCAACTTTCTCTTTAAAAAGTTTTAGATCACTAATTATAATTTTTTATCCAACAGTGTCTCTTATCTTCCAGAACCTCATTTAAAAAAAAAATACTCATTCTAGAATTGCACTATGAGAACTAGTGATGGAGTTTCTAGTTTCCTTATGAATAAAGCCTTCATATCGTTTCAAAATTTATTTCAGTAAAATATTAAAGATTATCTAGTGACAGTCCATTGTTTTACTGATGAGAAAACTGAACATTAAAGTGACTTGCTCAAGATGGCAAAGTTAGTGGGTTAGAACCCAAGTCTCCTGATTGCCAGTCCAGTACTCTTTTAATTATATCACACTACTTTTAATCACAAGAAGTTTTTTAATGGAGAGTTCTGGACTCTTCCAAATGAAACAAGTTCTTTTTATAGTGAGGCAAGGAACTGAAATTTTATAAGTTCATAATATTTTACTCTACCACTATGTTAAATGCTAAGAGGAATCTGTAATGAATAGAAGTCTGAGGACTCTGACACGTATCATTAAGTGCTAAAATGAGTGATAGCATTTGGTTATATCTTTGAGGTCAGATTTATTGAAGTTTTATGATTTTTTTTCTCTTATTTTTTGAGTCTCTAAAGTACTACTTGGCTAACTGATGTTGGCAGGGCTTTTTACTCCAGTACTTGAGAATATGTGTTGTCTACCTCATTGCATTGGAGGGCAATTTGTTTCATTGATTTTAGTCTTTAAAACCCTTTGTGATTTAAGTCCTGGTAACCTTAGATATCAGGTCCTTTTCTAAGAATCCTTTGGAGAACAGAGGTTAGTAGCTGTGTTTCATGCCTTGGGTTTTTTAGGTTACATTTTTCAAATTCCTACTGTTTCACTCCCCCAATTTTCCGACCTCAAGGGCATGGTACAAAATTGATCTTTTAAAACTTTCTTATGCTACCATGGTGGCAAGGCAAGATTGCTTTTCTTTCAAGTGTTTTATTACCTAAGGTACCATAGGGTTGCGGGTGTGTTGAGGGGACACCTGCATGTTTGCAGTTCTATCTTTGTGCATGTGGTAGGAAAAAAAAAATTAAGTATGATTTGTATCTTGACATTGTAACTTTAAACTGTCAAAAGAAATGAAACTTAGAGTTAAATTGGATCTTTGACCCAGGCAAAAATCTTACCTTTGACCAAACTATTGCCAGACCTTTCCTTTAAAAAAAAAAAGACTAACATATTTTTTTCATAGTTTAATGATTCTTTTGAAAAGTAATGACTTTAAAAACTTGCACAGGCAGAATAAAAATTCACAACTGAAGTTCTGTGTGTTAAAAACAAATCTAGCGTGTGGAAGGTGATTTTCAAAGTGATAGAGAACAGAACACAGTCTGTGTAACCATATCAGGCTTGGCTTTTCCATTTAGCATCCAAGGGATCAAACTGAACCCGAGTCTGCCAAAGCCAGTTGAAACCTTACATAGTGATACAGATCTGCAAATCAGGCAACCAGGGACTGTGAGAGATAAAAAAGAATAAGGATGAAAGCACTAGGAGACTTATTTTGGAAATTGCCTAATGACAGATTCAGGTTTCTGAATAGGAAATGGTATTTGGTATTCAAAAGACTTCTCAAATAAGGGGAAAAAAAGAGATAGCTTTGGTCCTTGAAAAGCTGATATGAATAACAAAGGAAAAGTGTGAAGCTGCTTCAGAATGTACTTCCTTTTCCTTTGTCTTTATATCAGGACTATAAGACATTGTTCATGCACAAATACATTTACTCAACGCTATATTTTATCTTAAATGGATAAGGGTTGGTGTAGAATATTCCTGTTTTATGTTCTCAACGTTGTTTTCTCTCCAGTCATTGCTTCTATAGGTATTTTTTTTTCACCTCATAGATATGTCCTGCTACGTGGAATTAAATGAAAGCAAGAACATTTTTTGTTTTTCTCCGTTAAGATTGTAATTGGTCAATTGTGAGGAGTCTATTTTTAGTGGAAATTATGGACAGACAACTTGACCTACTCCTTTTTATTTCAAGAGAAATCTGATTACTTTTGAATATGGCTTAAATTGTTTCCTTCTTTCAATCCTTATAAGCTGTTAGTGATGTAATTAGTATGATGTCATATATCTATATACTTATATACATATATAATATACATATACACATATATAAATATATGTTCTTACTTGATTATATGCCATATCATTTTGTTCAGCTTTTATACCAGAAATTATGATGAGTTTTATTTCCTGTACTTGCCTTTCTAGCTTGTAAATATTGATAAGGTAATCTTTAATGTGAAATAAGCCCAGTCTTCTTGTCCATTCACAAATAATGAATTCCTTATTTAATTAAGCCCCAGGAGAACAACCTGAGTAAACCAAAAGTAAGAACATAATTGGAACAAAATTGTGTAATCAACAGTAAATGATAAAATTATTAAATATAATTAAATTGTTTTCTAAATATATTTTATTTTTTAATTTAAGAAATTTTAGTATTAAGCTAATAAAAAGGTCATTGTAAAAGGACATAGCAAGTGATTCCTAACTTTTTGAGCAGATGCTGGTCTGAGACCTTGAGGAGCAGGTCTTAGAGCAGAATTCCTGACTCACTGTGGTCCTGTGGACCTGACCAAGCCCGATGTAAGCTTGTGAATGCAGACATTTTAATAGAGCTGATGAATGAGCTCACAAAGAATGGCAAGGGTCCTCATTAGAGGTCTTTATTAGGCAGAATTATGTTCAAAGGCATTCCAGATTACCATGTAATGGCAGAGGGAGAATTCCTATATAAAAAATGTTCTAATTTTCTCTTTCCACTTGTCTATTTTTTAAGTAAGCTAAACAAATCATGAGACAACAAAAGCTCATAGTGACTGTGTCACCTTTAATACTTTATTTTTAAACACTCTAGTTTCCTGGATATGGTCATAATCATTTTAACTTGGCTTTTGTCCTAAATGCAGAAAATTGAAACAATTCATCAGTTCACACATGATAGGTTTTATTAATATATTTATCTTCAATACTACCTAATTAAGATAAATTTAGTTTTTGAAAACAGAGTTTAGCCTTAAACATTCAAACTAATCATTAACTCCAAATGCTCTGACTCAAAAAGATGAGTTCAATTCAATAAACACTTATAAGTGCTTATTTTGTAAAAGATTCTCTGCTAGGCACTGAGGATTCAAAGACATTAATTCCTGCCCCCAAGGAGTTTATGTTCTACCTAGGGTTGGTAGGACAGATACAACATGTATTCAAATATGAAAAGATTAAAAAATACACAAAGTAATTTGAGGTGGCACAAACACCTGGAGTGAGTGGGGAACCAGATCAAGAAAGGCCTGATACAGGAAGAGCCCCAGGAGCTGGATTTTGAAGACAGCTAGGGATTGTTGGACTAGATGCTACCATATAGGATAAAGTCCCTCTCTTTTCTAAAGGTCTCTAAGCTTTACTCTGAAATGCGCTCATCAACTTAGGTATGCCCAGGTTATTGAATGATTTTTGTGAGCCTGTCTTTGGCAAATATTCTACATTCTCTTAATGACCTTAGCTTATTGGATCACATGCATTCAAACAATGAATGGTCAAAGAGGCCTGTTTACTGTTCCCAGTACATGGCATTACATCTCCCACCTGCTTGCCTCTGCGTAGGTCTGTCCACCTTGACTGAAATATTGTCTCTCCTCGCCTCAGTCTCTTGGATTCCCTGTCTACATCTGTTCTTTGGAGCCAACCAGGTTTGATTCCACTTTCATGGGACAACCGCTCTTCAAGTATTTGAAGACAGCCATCTCCATTTTGCTTGCCTTGTCTTCTCCTGACACTACAACCCTAATTTCTAGAACTGATCCATCCGAGTAACCATTTCGAGTTTTATCACCATCCTGACCAGCTCTTTTGGTCATTTCCTAGTTTTTCACATATCTTTTGAAAAATATGATGTCTTAGTCTAGAAATAATATTCCAGATATGATCTGATCATGCCAAAGCTTCCCTTGTAAATTCCTAAAGATTTTTAGTTTTAAGTGTTACCAAGTGCTAGTAACCATTTGAAAGAAATTAAAAAAAATTTTTCCCTTTAATGTTTAGGAATGGCTACATTTTTTACATTCTTTGAGAGAGCCCTAGATTTGGGGGCAGAGGACTTCGGTTTGAATCCTATACTATTGTGAATACATAACGATGTGACTTTGGGCAAGTTGCTTAAACTCTCCGGACCTCAGTTTTTTTCATCTATAAAATGAGGAGTTGTGAGGTGGAGACCATTTAAGGTCTCTTCTGTTTAAATCTATTCTCTCATGTCTTTATGAGAACATTGTATTGTGGTTTACTGCAGATCTCCTGTAAATATCAGATGTGCAAGCTATGTCATCTGGACTGGAGTTAGGAACATTACCCATGTATTTTTCTCTGAAGCTGTAGGTAATAGCATAAATTTTTGATATGATATAAAGAGCACATGTATTTCCAGGCTTTTTCATGCTCTTGTACCTGAATTGACTTGCAGACAGGAGAGGGCAGTGTAGACCTAACTTGTGAGGCTCCTTAGCCTGCATAGAGAACTCCCTTTCTACTTTCAGCAAATCCCAAAGCTCTTTCTTATTCCCTCCCTACATATGGAGACTTAGATTCAGTTGTATCAATCAGATGACTTTGCTCATGCTCAGTAGACAGAATAGGCTTGGCTCACAAAACACAGCTTTTTCCTTTGAGCTAAAGGTGAAGTATAGAATGGTCTAATCAGTGAGAACAAGTTTCCAGTATTTTAGAACAAAATCCATTTCTAAATAATTTCTGAGGTCTCTAGCTTTGAAGGAAGAATCACCAATTAAAACAGTAGTAGCATTTTATTGATATAAAGAATTATTAATGCTATATACTAAGGGCCAGATATTTTGTCTCCATTTTGAACATTTTATAAAAAATTTTATTATCTATTTTCTTCTATTTTAGATTTCCAGATTTATGAGGATAGAAGTTGTCTTTAAAAAAAAGTGTCAAGTATTCAATCTATACTGTTAAGTACATTAATATTGATCTTATAGTTTCTAGCATAATTTCAAATTTCTAAGAGTTTCAGTAAACGTTGTTGTTGTTCGGTAGTTTCGGTCAGTTGTGTCTGACTCTTCACGATCCCATTTGGAATTTTCTTGGCAAAGATATTAGAGTTGTTTGCCATTTCCTTCTCCAGCTTATTTTTACAGATAAGAAAGCTGAGGCAAGCAGGGTTCAGTGGCCTGCTCAAGGTCATACAGGTGGTAAGTGTCAGGTTATATTTAAACTCAGGTCTTCCTGATTCAGGGCCTGGCGCTCCATCCACTGTGTCACCTAGCTGCCCTTCAGCAAATATTATTATAAAATAAATTATAAATAAGATAGTCTATTTTCCCTGGCCCAAAGTTAGGAGTGATTTGTGAAATCTTCCATGAAGCTCAGGACATGATTTTTGCTGCTCCCATGTTTGCACTAAACATGTCTGCGTGGTGAGATTTGGGAGTTTGGGGAGAGGGAGGTCCTGGGGGCTTGGTGGAAACAGAATCCAACTCTTATTTATTAGAAAGTTTCTAAATATTTTGTCATGTCTCTTGTAATTTTTATAAGTGCCTGTTCTTGCCTTTAAAAACAGTAAGTGAGATTTACATTTTTTCACAATGAGATGTTTTATGAGGTTGTTTATTCTTATCCTGATTCACTGATGATTTCATCGCATGACTTTGTTGCCTGGGTTTTGGGTACATTTTAAAAACAGTAGTGAATTGTAACAAGAATAACAATAATTATCACTTTTCATTTCTGTAGTGATTTCAGGCTTATGAAGTGCTTTGCTCACAGTGACCCTTTAGGGGTGAACTGTCATTCTCTTCTATAGACATAGAGTAGGTTTTGCTGCCTGTAAGATGATTGTTTAAGGAAATAAAATCACTACTCCCTCATCTCCTCTCCTTCCCTCCCCCCAAGAATTTTACACAGTTGTTTCTTGAGAAATTAAGAGTTATGTTGTGTGTGTGTGTG